GGGTGGGTGGGGGGGGCGGCCAGCCCCGCTCTTACCTTCCGCCGTCCTGCCCGTTCTGAACTCTTTCAGTTTGTCCTTGTCGCTCTCTACGTGGTCTTTGAAAAGATGCACCGGGCAATGGTTGCTGCTCTCAGTCATGTCCTGCAGGTTAGAGTCTGAGTTTCCAAGCTCCCTAGAGCGAGCCAACCCACTCTCCAAAACTTCCCTGTACGTGATCGTCTCCTTCTTGTTGCTGCTGCCACTGCTGCTGCTGCTCTCTTTGCTTTTCTGGTCAAAAGATTTGGATACAAAAGCTGTAAGTTCTTCCATGGCTGCCCGGTGCTCTTATCCACAGAGATCCACTTGATTTCAGTAGGGGATGTGGCCGTCCTCTGCACGCTGTTTTTGCACGTAGAAGATGGGCTGTATAGGGTTAGATCACTCCTGCTGTTATTTATGCCTTTCAATTTGAGATCACACTATTTATACATGGCTACCTCAGCCCAACCCCCAGCTCTCCCTGTCTCCAGCAATTACTGACTGCTCCATAGTCGCAGGCGGACTCCTAGCAGCTATCTCCCCCACCTCAGTCCAGCAATTGGCTTTCTTTTCATTTCATCACTGTTTGGCATCTTTGCACCTTGATTTAGGGAGGCAAAGAGGCAAAAGCAAAAAAAGAGGGAGAGAGGAAGAGAGAGAGAGAGAGAGAGAGAGAGAGAGAGAGGAATAAAAGGGAGGGGTAAAAAAGAGAAAAACATAAAAATAGGTGTCTGCATTCTGTAAATGGGCTGCAGAAATGAAAGTCAAGGAAGACTTAATTGATTGTAAGGACATCCTGTGCGTGACAACACTGTGAGTAAAAACGGACCTAGCTAATCAAATAACTGTGCTCTGCAATTAAATGTATCGCTATCAAGAGGAAAAGAAAATGATTGTTCAATAAAAAGGTAATGAGTAAAAAGCTGGAGATGTGCATTTTTTGTAATCATTTAAAATTCTACCTGATCTGCTATTTAGCTAATTTAACTTAATTAAATGGTCAAAATAATCAGCGAATCAAACATGTTGTTTTAAAAGCGCTGCTTATTCTGGAGTGTGGGTGGTGGGTACGTGGAGGGGGGGGACGTGTATACAGTTAAACAAGTTGCTAGATATCTCTGAGATCCTTGTCGTTTTGTTCGGAGGATTTGAAAGGGTTTTTTTTTTCCTCTCTTTTTTTTAATCCATAGGTAGGGGGGCAATCAAGATGCGTGTAAAACTTGCAGGCTCTGCTTTCTTGTTAAATGCTATTATGTTGTCTGGATATATTGTTCGGGAAAATTAAAATCTAAAATGTTCCTTTGGCTGTAGAGCTATCCTGCTGCGTGTAGTAAAGGCGTAATTTGTTAACACTACAGTTTGCACGCGACAAATAGAGTATTAACTTGTCTGTTTTTTTTTTTTTTTAACGAAAAATATCCTGCCAGGTTTAAGATAGGATTGTGGCTAATTTCCCCACCTTGTTCATTATAGGCTGCTGTTATTTTTGTTGTACCCCCTGGAATAATTGCTACTTTGTGCGCTTGAAGAGCCGCCTGAAATTAATATCCAAAATAACTGCCGTGCCATTTCTAGCACCTCTCCGCACAATTTGATCCCAATGTGGAGCTGACTTTCTAGGTATTTATTTCTATCTCCTTTCCTTGCTCCTTAACACAAGGAGTTTGTCATTTGGTGGAATTTCGTCTTCTGTTCGTTTAGCTTTTTATGTTCCTCTTATTACAGTGGCAGTTCCTCACCTCGAGTTTGAGATAATCAGACCCCATAATCGCGCCACCCTCTGCTCTGAATTGTAACCAAAGGAGTCTTCTTGCACGAGCAAGGAGCTATTGTTTCTTTTCTAGAGAAGTGTGTGACTGCTCTGAAAATTAGCAGAACGTTAAAACTGTAAAAATACGTTCAATTAATCCAAAGGTGCCCCCAGCACCAGAGTTAACACCTCCACAGGAGGAGGGGGGAAAATAATAATCGAGGAAGCAATTAATAAAGAGCTTTAAAAAATCAATCTCCCCCTATGTGAATTTAAAATGATTATCTAGGGGACAAGGATTGATCATTTGATCTCAGCACTGCGGATATCCCTGACATTTATTATATTGTTGTGTCTCGGTGGCATCCTTCCTCCAGAGTTCATTTAACGAGTGAGGGAGCCGAGGAAGGCTTACAACTTAACAAACAGGTCTTGTCATCGCAAACGCCAATCAAATCCGAGGCTCTAATGTATATCACACGGCACCACATAAATAATAAAGGGAAACGATAGACGTGGAAATAACGTACGGCTAAAAAAAAGATCCAGTCAAGATATGCTGATTAAGTCTGTATCGTGGATCTGCATATTAACGCGTCTACGCGCTAATGGTTAATTGTTGTATACGCTGGTAGCGCGGCGTGTGATGCACGCACATTTCTGCTAGGCGAGGGTGCGAAGGACACACGCACACCCACACCCACCCACGCCCACACA